ATTTTAAAAATATAAGTTTAAAAATATGATACAAGCATACATAAAGTGTAAAAATATGATATAAAATACATCTTTAAAAGTATTAACAGTATATACAGCCACCGTTCACCTTTTAAAAGAAACTTTTTCAATAGTTCCAAAGGCACTCACAAGAATCGAAAACAAAAAAATTCCCACACATTTTCGTTCTCTCTAGTCAGAAAAATAGAAAACCAGAATAAAAGGCTAACAAAAAAAAAGGTGATACCAAATAAATCTTTGAGTTTCAAATGAGTTCAAAAAAATGTACTTTCAATGGAAAAAAAAATAAAATGATACTTGTAATTAGATTTTTTTATCTTACAATTTGATACAAAATTATATTAAAAAAATATATTTTTATTAAAAAAAATAAAACAATACTAATAAATAAGCTTTTTATCTTACAATTGAGATTACATCAAAATAAAAAACATTGAACAATTAAATGACAAAAGAGCACCTAACATCTGAAATCTACCCCTCATCAAACTACTGTTGTGAAATCTGACTCACGCTACGGTTTCTTCCAAATAAATTATCCTAAAGAGTCATGATCCCTTGAAAGGCTACTCATCTCTTAAACTTGAATTGTCAAACCTTGTTTAAACCATGTAGTTACTTATGCATATCAAGACCCAACCGAAGTGTAAAATGCCAATCAAGTCCGAATGCCCAATTAACCCGCAAGCCCTACCAGTTTAAGTGGTTCTACCACTTGACCTTGTGGTATGCCCTTGCCTTGCTAGAAGTTCGATTCTCAAAGGCAACATCCCCCTTCCCCTTCCCTCTTTTTGGGTACTATAAACTCTTTAATATATAAAATTTATATTAAAATCTCGTTAATTCAAAGTTATCTTGATTTACACTCTGAAAAAAAAAAAGTATATTTTTATCGTTTATTTTTTTATTTATAAAATTCAAAATTAATATTCTACTTAAAAAAAAAACCACTCTCCTTCTATTTAAAGTAATAGGTTGTTGCTTCTTTTCCCCATCTTCCTAAGCAATAGCCAATAGGATTATGATTGTCTTGCATTAAAAAAAAAAAATTATACAACACGTTATGAATAAAAACAAGGGCTGCGTATTCAATTAAGTGTATAGATAATTTGACGGTTTTTTTTTTTTTTTTTTTGTCTGACAATTTGATAGTTTAATCTGAAAAACCCACTGACTCCAAGTGATTGCCCTCTGCCCCTCTCAGATACGCGAGTGAATTGTCATAATAAACCAAATAAATGGTGCTCATTATTAAATAATCAAATCAATAAGGAAATAAATCAACATATCAGTGAAGGTGCACTGCTGGCTCGAGAGCCTACTTATGCAACTTTAGAAGCATCATATCAAATTTGAAACCAAAGAGTAGAAAGGGATGAGAATAAAAAACAGAAACATATTTTACCACACCTTGATGAATAAGCCACATCCATTTTACCAAGTCCTCACCCCATGGAAGGCAGACACATGATGACCATTAAAACTGTGCTGTCTGCTTCCTGAACTAGAACAATCCAACAATCAATCTAGATGTCATGCTCAGTATAGAAGATGGAAACAAGATTCCAACTAGAGACTGCATTTTGCCTTACCTCAGTGTATTAACAAATATTTGTGCAGTAATCTGGAGTAACAACCATAGTTTTTCTGGTTGTTAACAAATACAGTTCAAAGCATCATTTTTTATCAGAAAAGGAATTAATCTTTCCATGTCAACCCTAGATTGACCGTGCTCATTAAAAGATAAATTCAAGACCCATTTTGACAAGTTTTATTAACATAAAGTCTGAACCACAACCAATATAGGTAACCCAAAAGCCAGTGACAAGTTATTTGTTTGATCACTAGCTAGGATGTGCAGTAAATCCATTTTGATGAGTGATATTAGCAGTTATACATGTTTGAACACTAGGATGTGGAAAATAATTATTTGTATGATCAAAACAGTTACACAGGCAAAAATAAATTTTTATGGTGATCATTAATCATGTTATAACACTGCATATTTCCCTTCATGCATACATGTCAACCAAAATGCACTTTTTGCTATTGATCTGAGGTAAGTTCCAGGCAGAACAAAGTAG